ATTGTGAAATGTTAAGGAGGAATATGCTTTTGATTAGACAGTTTCCCCGTCCTAAGGCAATGATACAAAATATTTGAGAATCGGTGGATGAAAATCTCGAGGAAATATATCATTAAAAATAATTGGTAGCAGAGACAGGTCCACAAATTTTAGAAATGTGGTTAATCTTCACTGTTGATGTGACTACAGTCTCTTCTCAACCACCCGGCAGCACAGTCTCTTTTCAACCACCTGGCGGCATCTCTCAGGATCAGAAATGTTTTCTCTTTATTTCTAGAAAACTGCAATTTTAAAAATAATGTAAAGTACTAGAGAGGCAAGTATATGAACCAACCACAAAGAATAACAATGATGAAGGCAGATTGCTACACTTTGTGAATATTTGTAAGATGGCAGAGTTCTTTCTTCCTAACGGGTTTTAAGTTTCTCATTTATTTAATCAAGAGATTCAGCCTTGATTTTTCCCCCATAGACTTATTTTCCTGTATGGATACTTAAATAATGAAGGCTCACCTCATAGAATACCAGTGGCAGCATAGTTCCAGGGCTAGTCTCTCAAATGCTTAATGACATCAACAAAGAAGCAAGCTTTCCATTCTTCCACAGTATGTTAGCTGTGGGTATAAGTCTTGTTTTCTGTCACAAAATAGTTGCAATAGCTCCAAACACTATGTTCTCATATGACTCTTCAAAGCCTGAAAAGACAGTATTACTACTTTCTACTCCTTAGTTTTAGAGTGAGGAAAATGCTCCAGAATCAACCAATTCCAATGGTCAGACCTTTTATTCATATAGCATTGGTCAAAATTATGTCATACAGCGGTTCAAATGATCACTGGCAATGTGATCTCAGTGCCATGCTTAGCTTAGACTGATCAAGATCCACTCCACTGGGCTAAGGGAGAGCCCTGAACCCTCCAGGAGCACAAGGCCTCCCGAAACCTAAACTGAATCAGGACTCTGTCAGCAAGAAAAAGGGGAGAGGCTGCTGATGGATTAGAAGGCTCAGTAGGCGCCAGAGCTGCCTAACCCCACAGACAAACTCGCCTACCACCCACCAACGCAGAGACCAGCCATCTTTTGTCCTGCGTGCACTAGGAAAGTAACTTTATGCATAGTTATCTATGTAAATAAACTACTACTGTGTTCGCACTTCTTTTTTTTAATCCTACAGTCCCATCTGCCTGAAACCTAGAAAACCATTCCAGTACAGCTGATGGGACAAGTCCAACAGAAATGGGAAGAGAACTAGGAATAATACCATTGATGTCATCAAATAATATTGCTGAGTGATAGATAGCAAATCCTTCATATTTATTATTTTACTTTGTTCTTGTGATAACTCTACAATGTATAGAACATTTTCCAGAAGAAGGAGACTAAGGCTTAGGGACATTAAATCAGTGGCTCTAGACCACAGAATTTCTTGTCTTGAAATGCTCTAGCCTAGTTCATGTTGGAGCTCCATGGGAGGCTCCCCAGAGTGTTTTTATCTGTGCCAGCACACATTCTGCCTGAAATCTAAATTTCATCAAATGATGTGTGTACTAAATAGATTCACCATTTTTTTTTTGTATATCAGATACACCTCAATAAAGCTGTGTATTCAAAAACTACATTTATCAAGACATCATGGTAAAGAGAACAACATATGGATCAATAGAATAGAGTGTAGGGCCCAGGAATTAAATCCACAGAAACAGGACAGATAAGTTTTTGACAAGGCAGATAAACACAATGGCTTTAAGTGGAGAAAGACTATAGATGTCCACTGTGAAACCCTGGGACTTCCATATGTGAAGATGTTAAAAAGGACCCTGACCTAAACTTCACACCATTACATAAAAATTAACCTAAGTGGAGTATTATGTAAAATGTAAAACTATAATATTTTTAGAAGAAAGTATAGGAGAAAGTCTTTGTGTCCTGGAATTTGGCAAAGAGCACTGAGATAAAACACTAAAAGCACAATTCACAAAATCAAAATGATAAATTAGATTTAAAATGTTAACACTTTTTTTTCCTCCCTGTGGAAGACACTGTTAAGAGAATTAAGACTCACTAAAGACTAAGTGAAAATATTTGGAAATCCTATACCTGACAATGGACTTGTATCCAGAATATATAAATAAGTCTCAAAGCTCAACAGGAAAAGACAAACCAATTAAAAATGGATACAAATTTAAATAAGTAACTACACCTAAGGGTATATATGAAAGGCAAAAGCCCAAAGAAAAAGACATTTAACAACATTAGCCAGTATAGATATGCAAATTAAACCATGGAGACATATACCTGTAAACTGGTTCGAATGGCTAAAAATGAAAACAGACAATACCAAGTGTTAATGCAATTACAGAACATCTACAACTCACACATTATTGATGGAAATGCAAATTCCTACAACTTGGAAAATAATTTGGCAGTTTCTTTTACAATTAAAAATACACTTACTATATTGACCAGAAATCCTACCTGTATATATTTGCCCCAGAGAAATAAAGACTTATGGTCTCACCAATATGTATCTTTATAGAACTTGGTTTGTAATTATCCAAATGGAAACAAATTGGATGTGTTTCAGTGGGTGAATTGATACAAAGACTGGTACTTCCATATAGTGGACTGCTGATCAAATATAAAAAAGAGTTAACTTCTGGTATACAAGATTTGAACAGATCTGAGGTATTATTCTGTATGAAAGAATCCAGTTTCCAATGTTTACCTACATTTAATCCCATAAGAATGATATACTCAAGAAGACATAATTATAATTATGGAGAGTATATCTGTGGTTGGAAGAGTGTGGGAAAGGCTGGATGGAGCGTGTGTAGAACCCAGGGTTGGAATAGCCTTGGAATGCAGCCAAAGCCTGGATTATAAATTGACAACTTTGATGTTATCACACGCATTCACTTAACCCTGTTATCATGAGCACAGCAAGAAGCTAAGACCCACTGGGAAACATGATATGAGAGACTTACTAAGATTCAAGCATGCAGATGTAAGGAGCTTCTGTAGGTGAGCACAATTTGAGGACAGGCAGGAAAATACAGCATAAATTAGAGCATTCTGCAGGGAAGAAAATTTAAATCCATATGGTCTGCTCAACCTTTCAATATTCACATCTGAAATTACATGTTATTTTGTTTATTTAGAGAATCTCATTTAAATGCTTGATGTATACATAAAGATAACATTGTGTGAGAGTCACCAGTCTAACTGAAGTGAAATGTTGACAGCTTTAGATAGTTCAAAATGATCTTAAGAGTTAAGTAATATGAAGAACTTTGTGCTTGGAATTAGTATAAGAGAAAAGTGCTATATTTTGGTAAGAAAATCTAGCATGAAACTCAAGCTGACTGAAATTACTTTATTTCACTTTCAAATTATTTTTTGAGGTAATTTTTTTTACAGTATTTAGGCCTGGATTATATATAGACTTCTGTCCTTTACCAGTAAGCTATCTTATTTTGAAGAAAGATGTCCAAATAATGTATTAAAATGAAAGATAGGTATTTGAATAACAATTTCAACAAAACACTGTCATTATTACTGATTTGTCTATTCCAAAAATAATTTAGGTCATATCTTGACATTTGAAAGGAATATTTTAGCGGCATTAGCCACATTAGAAAAATATGAGTGATGCTAAATTGTTTAAATTGGAAAAAAAAAAAAGTTTTTCAAATGACACTGTGTTCATTTCTTATCATAGAAAGACGTAGTGGTTTGTGAGTAAAGTAAAAAACACAGATACCAAAAGAATCATAGCATTGAATGTCCCTGTTAAAACAATTGGCTTTTTTGTGAAAATCTAAGTCGAACAAGCGCTAAAAAAAAAACAAAGCAAAACAAAAATTATGGAGCCAGAGAGGGTGGGGCTGGAACAGAGTAAAAGGGAAGGAACCCCTTAACTGAAAATCAATTTTATTATGCTGATTTTGTTTCTCCCTCCTCCCGTGAATATTTTATTATCGTTTTACAGCCTAATAACAGAATGATATTCTTAGAATTAACTGCTTTGGCTCTGTTTCAAAAGTAAGATGTGGTTTTATGTTTTTAATGATAATCAGTGCTATTAATGTTTGGATCATTAAGATGAATGTACCCACATAAGGAGATCTAATCCTCACATATACAATGCAATTCTGTACATACACATTTACTTAAATGTTATAACCCAGATGCCTTCACAGTGACAATTTTAGGACTTTTAAACCCATTTACACACTATGTTCTCCCAACAATTGTCTTCTGAGAAAACAGAAGTATATAATTACATAAGCTTTCTTTAAAGTCATATTTATATGAGCCCTTCCTATAACTTTAGTCAAAACAACCTTACTAGGTAAGTATCATGAGAAAATATATTTCTGCAGGGAAGGGCCCTGCAGTGCTGAGGAGTCAACTCATGGTGAAATGGCTAAGAAATGGAAAAGATACACTGACCTCAGGCTGTCTAGCCACTGAACCTGTGCTTGTCCAGTGACTGGTGGGAAACTAGCAATGCAGAGTCGAATAGTTTAGAAGAAACTGAGTGACACTTTTTGAAAATGTAATGGTCCAAACAAATATTAGAGAGGAGTGTGCCAAAATACAATTGATAACTAATTTTCTTTTTTAAGTAGAATTAGGTATTTGAAAGTATTTGCATAGAATAATAAATTAAAACTCCTAATATGATCTGATGCTGATCTGATTTAATTGGAAACATTGCTAAAAAGCTGGTTTAAAAAGTAGTAGGAAAAGCTGATGATATTGATTTTATCAGTATGTATCACCTTGATATAATCTTTTTGTGAATGTGTGTGTGGTATCTTGAACTGTAGTTCATTGGCATTATGAAAATTAGGGGCATTAAATAGAACATCCTGATAAGCTTAATGATATTCCAATAAGTTTGTAATGAATAAACTGTGGGCATATGAATACATGACAAGTTATTTAGTTTTAACTAAGTTTGTTCAAGGAACGGAAACTGCATTATATGGTATTAAAGCATTTGTCTGTTTAGCTGAGCTGAGCAGTCTCTAACAAGGGTGACTGTTGTAGCATTTATGGTCCCTTGACTTGTCCCTGATTTTGATTTGTCTTTTAAATTCTCAGGTAGACATGTAACCTTTAGGTGCCAGTCTGAAGTGTTCCTAATAGTTAAGAAAAGGCAATTAATATGGAATAATTTGATAGCACTAGTACTGAACATTAACATTTATATTACATTTGTGATGTACCAGAAAAATTGTATGTTTACATGTTTTGGTTTATTTTATACATGCCCTCTAGAAAATTTTAGCATGAAGTTTTGGCCATATAGGACTTTTGAAGGACTCTATTGAAGGGATCTAAAAGATATATCAACTACTAAATTCCTAAAGTTTTCTTGTTTATCAAGTCCTCCTCACACTCAGCCCGTTTATGGGTCTGCTTATCCTCTTCCGCCCACAGTCCCTTCCATGGAGCTGGTCCTCTGTGAGGAAAGGGGGAGGAGAACTGGTAAGTGAGCAGAGCTTTTGGAAGTAGAACACACATGGTCTAGTTGGAAAGAAAGCTTTATAAATGTAACTGAAAAGAAATCCATTCAACGAATTTGTAGGTGCTTGTATTTTCAGGCCGTCTCACAGCCGTGGTGTGTATATGACTGAATATGAGTGACAGTTTCTTTGCCTTTGTGGAGACTACATCTTAGAGGAAGGGGCCATAGAAGAAAAGAATAAGCAAATTAAAGATAAAAATACTTTCAGACAGTCATAGTGCTGCAGGTAAATTGATACAGAATCATAGGGCCAAGAAGAGGGTTGCATTTCTATTACTTACAATGAAAATTTTCCGAACCTCATTAAACTTAGGTCGCATTATCAAGAGCGCCTGAAAAATCCAAAGGCTGATGAGCACCCTCACCTCTCCCTCTAAAAAGAGGCACCGCCAGTCTTTGTCATGGTGATTCCTATTTAATTAAAATATCTTGGATTGTGAATACAAAACATATACATTACAATGATTACCTAATATTCCTAACTATTCATTTTCCATTCCATTTGGCAATAGAATTCTGATTTCCAGCTGGGTAGATGGTGCCCAAGTGAAGATGATACTTATTTATCAGCTTTCATTTTAGTTAAAGGTGGATATGTAACTAAATTCTGGCCAATGGGATTTCAACGGTAGTATCCTGCAAGTCGTAAAGTCATTCCATATGTAAAGTGAATTTCTTCACTCCTTATTTTACTTGCTGTGGATTAATGTGCAGATGTGATGGCTGGATCTAGAGCATCTCTCCTGGACCATGAGGTGACATTACAGAAGGAGGATTGCACAGACATGAACGAGGTGGAGAGGCGGAGCCTTTGACACCGTGCCGTTGCAGTGCCCGGTCACCTGGCTGGAATTCTCTGTAAGGGAGAATTAAACAGCTAGCTTGTATAAATAAGCCACTTCCGTTTTGTTTTGGAGCTTTTTGCAGCTAAGCCTAAGCCTAATAGTACATGGAGGTAGCTTAGACTGTGGGAAAATGACTTCACTGGGTACTTCCTATATTTTTCATACTTTACTTAGATTATCTTTGTGGGCAAGAAAAACTGCAAGATTTCATTTTCCCCACTTCTCAAGTGAGAACACTAGGGCCCAGGATTCTAAACAAATCAATCAGCTAAGACTTTTAACTTAGGTCTCTTAGAAGAGGGTGTCATATGCTATTCAATGCGATGTTCTTTTAAAAAGGCAAGACTTAGAATAAGTACCTATAGTACAGGGTATAAATTAGTATGTGCTTTAAGAAAAAAAAAAGCAGAGTTCTATAGGAATTCAAAATGAAAAAGATCTAATCCCAAGGAACAACTGTTAAACCATTTCTGATCATTTTCCTCCTTGAAGTAGTTCAACTTAACTTCTTACACACAAAGCACTTTTAGATATTTAGATCTTGCTGTAAAATCCATTTTATTACAAAATTTCTCTCTTTAGACAGACTGTTTCCTATTCTTTAAGGAAGACATTTTTAGTGTTCAAAAATGACTGATATTTTCATTCTTCATGCTTCTTATGTAGCAGAGGTGGATGTCAGGAAAACGGATAAAATATACATGATGCATTCATGAGCTAATTGTCAGTATGTTATTAAATCCTACTGCTTCCTGCAAAGCTATCTAAATTTCATTAAATCATGAAATTCCCTACATAATTAATAATAGTGGATTGAATGGTTTGTAGTCAAGTAATTTCCTATTCTCATTCTAAAGAAAGGAGATTTATCACTGTTCCCTAAGAATGAATTGCTGTGTAGGCACGTGCGTGTCTATCAGCGATGGCATGGAATACATTTGCTTGACTATAGAAAATGAGAAACAATGGTTTGAATTTGTATCATGCATGAAAGCCCTAAACCTACCAAAAAAAAAAAAAAACCCAGTAAATTGTTTACTGCTTTGGAGGCTCTTTAACTCTTTCATGACAATAATCTCTTGACAGGCACACTGGACCCAAAATAGTTTCTGTTAGTCTGGACAGGTAGGGATGCATTTATACATGTGAATTGTGTTTATTCCGCAATCTCTCACTTCTTTTAGAAGAGATTCACGTTCCTTGGCTTGACTCGTTTTGGAAAATAAATTTGCATTTGCGGCTTAAACTACCAATTTTAAAAGAATTGGGAGTCTCACAGTTTGTGCAACCCTTGAGAAAGCTTCTTGTTCAATCCACAGGTAGAGAGGTACACCCGGACCGAAAGCTGCCTCCCAAACAGCAGAGATCCCTCAGCACGCGCTCATCTCCCACACTGCCTTTGATATTCTGACACATCTGAACAAAGATGTTTGAGGAGAGGAAATAGACCAAAGAATGATTTGTTCTGGGCTTCAAACTTTCCAGAGTGCCGTCCCCGAGGGCAACCAGGGGATGCGCCTAAGCGAGTTGCTGCAGGTGGTTATCTTAAACAACCTTTGGAGCAAGTACCAAACCCAGTTACAAATCCTGGAGCATCAGCTTTGAAAAACCCCAGAGGCAGAAAAGAGCGGGGAAGCTCTCATGGACCAAGGTCGGTGAAGCCCAGACGCTAGCTTGACTCATGGAGGTTTATGTATGGGTTCCCGAAAGAGAGATTTGGTACAAAAAGGGACTTGGGGATTATGAGACTCAGTGTTTATAAGCATGAATGAGATTTGAGCTGAAAATTTTATTTACAAAGGAAGCCGAAGTTTAAGGAACTCATTATTGAATGATCGGACATACTGTACAACCTCTGTTCCTCCAAGAGACAAGAGAGAAAAATCTTAAGGGTATCTGGAAGGGGAAAGGGGCAGAGAATCCAAGCCAACCAATAATCACTAGTGACTGAATAAAGAGCTAAAAGATGAAGAAGGAAAAAAAGAGAGAATTGGCTTATTCATAGTAGATCTATTAACTCTCTCATGATAATAAAATCAAAATTACTTACCTTGACATCCAGCATCAAAGAAAACTATCAGTGAAGTCCATCTGAGGAGAGGCAGTGAGGTCCGCAACATCGGGATTGGTGTAATGAACCTGTAAATTTGCAAAACTGTAGGTTACTCAAGAACATGAATTACACCCAGAAGCAAATGCTATTAACATTTTAATGCATGTTCTCACAATCCATTTTCAATGCATTCTTATAGTGTTTACATTGTATTAATTGTTTAAACGACCAATTCAATTTGTGGCTCCTGCCGAGTCAATAATAAAGCATTGATAATCTTTATTGCCAAGAGAAGTTGGTAGAGTAAATTTGTTTACATAATGAAGATATCAACCCTCTTCCACTCATAGAATTAGATACAACTGGTACGAATCCTAATTCTGTGTCTTCTATTATTCCAGAATTTCCTTTAATGACTATGAATTCCTGCAGAGTATTTCCATGTGTGTCTCTCTGCTGCTATGGGTCAGGATCCTAGATGTTATCCCTGTACTGGGAACTGGCTCCTTTCAGGTCTTACTTTCTGTCCCGAGACTTATCAAGTGATGTTCCAAACAAGTGTTTACCTTCACAATAGAAATTCATCAGCTATTAACGCTGTAACCTTTTCCAAAGTGCTGCACGTAAGCTGTATGTTGTAGTTAAATAACCAGTTCACAATTGGGTTTTATAGACCACGTGCGTACATTCTGCTATTGCCTGGAGGGTGTTACTAAGATATGCAAGTAATCGTTTCATATTTTCAGGTTTGGAGGTCATGATTCAGGGGCAAGTGCCATCTACGGCTGCTCAAAGTGCGGCTCAAAGCGAGAGGAAGGCTCCAACCTGAACAGCAGTGTCCCTCCAGCGGGGCTCGTGGCCCACCTCTGCTCGCTCGTCCGTATCACAGCGGCTGCACAGACGCCTGCGTACTTCACTCCTTGGTTGACGGGCTCAGCTGGGGCAGTGATCAGTCAGGGGAAAAAGAATGGCCTTGGCTGGGACTCTGGACTTGGACATTGTTCTAACGGCAAGCTCACCATCCCCGATTCCTGCCGTCCATCCCCTTCTGAGTGATCTCGGGGGGCCTCTGCTTCCTTCTTGCCTCATCCTGCAACCGAAGGAGCTCCAGGGATCCGCCATCCTCCGCGAGCTATTCTCTTGCACACATTCCCGTGGTCTGGCTTAGTCTTCTCCCTGAAGTGTATTTACCCCTCCAACTGGTGATACAATTGGGGTCATCAGATTCCAGGACCTGAGAAACCAATCTTTAGTCTCCTTCTGTTCCCTCGACGCCACACTGAGCCCTTCATCATATCCTGCCGGACTGCCTCTCGCACACTTCGCCCGGTTCATCCCTCCCTGGAATGCTCCCCTCCGACCACGGCAGGGCGAGCAGACACGTCCTCTTCTCAGAACACGGCTTTTCCTTTGCTATTACTGACTGGCTAACGTAGTCCACAGCATTTTAATAATTCAAAGCCATTTTTGCCAGGCTTGCGTTTCCTCTATTTATGTGATATACATTGGCTCTGGTATATAAAATTTACATACTACAATTAGATTTTTAATGTTATCACTTAATGCTAGTAATTTGGCCTATGAAATTCATATTTTAACACTTCTAATTACTTTAGCTTTTATCATTCCAATAATATTTTTAATGACTATTTCTTAAATTATATATATACTTTGGAATTAACATTGCTACTTATACTTTCCTTTGGCCTGAGTTTACCAGTCAATTAAGACTGAAGTTGGAGGGCTGTTAGGCAGCGGGGTGAGGAATCTCAGAGACGGAAGACTTCCCAGCCTCCTGTGAAGGTGAACTAGTGAAATAAAGAACAAACCAGACAGGGCCAGTGATAAGAGGTGGTCAGAAAAAGAGAAGAGGGAGGCACAGAGGAGAGGGAGGCTGGGAGCTTTGCAAGAGTAAAACTGGACACTCTAGATCCAGAAAGATATTCCTTTCATGCAGACAGTTGAGGAAATGCACGCCTACGTGACTTGGAAAGAACCGGACCACCCGTGTCAATATGACTTAGCGGCTCGTTACAAGAACACTTTACTTGGATAGGATAAGACCGGAAACCTATAAATACCTTTATTCTTTGCTTCAGGAAATTCCTACCAATCCAATTGTCAAAGACAACAGAGTCTGCCAATAGTTGTCTTCAGCACTCTCACCTGGCAGTTTCCACCAATCCTAAACTATATATCATGAATTTTCAAATTTCAGTTAGCTCCTGGCCTTGATAAAAATGACTTAAACCACTCCTTCTTCCCACCCACAGCACCGCTCATACAAGGTGCATTCTTGCTAAAAGCAGGAAGCTCTAATACATTTAGCTTTGGTGCATTAATGACTTTCTGGTGATGTTTTGAGGCGCTCAAGAGTTTGGTGGTTTCACGAATGTCTGTGAAGGGCCCCTGGCTGCCGGCATCCACCCTGTGCGTGACACACTCCTGCCACTCCTGGCTGGGGCATCTGCCGTGGCACAGGGGCCAGACATCGGGTCTGAGCGCCACGTTATCCTCAAGCTCTCATCTGCTGGGTTTAGCTTTTTTCCTCGACAATAAAAGCTTTCTAGGACTCTTTTATCAGATCAGATTGGAAAGCTTTTATTCTCAGTGGAAACCTGTCTGCTCTTTGTATCTATGGACCATCATGAAGATGTTGGAAATCTATCACAGGATTTTCATTTGGAAGAGGAGTGGGCATAGAAACCGACAAACCTGTTCCTTAATTTTGCCCCGGGGAAGTTCTGAAAGTTTCTCTTCAGACCTGGGTTCTTCTCACAAATTGTACTTCAGGCCAATGATCAAAACTTTATGCAAGCTTTCTTAGTATTACTGTGTTTTGCTCATAGGAATCTGGGAGACTCCGGGAAACACCTTCTTTCTCAGGAATCACAGACGTTAGACTGCGGACCTGAGACGCACAAGTACGAAAGGAAAACTTCCAGTTGACCATTTCTGGGCTTGTGAGTTTTTCTCAGTCTAAACCAAAGCCCATGCCTCGTCTGTCCTAGACTCTTGCCCGTCATATGTATTTACACTATAATTCCAGTTCAGATGACCCTCTGCCACTTTGTGTAACTTTGGATACCAGCAAAATTGTTCATTTGAGAGGTTCCTTAGAACAGAAGGTAAAATTTCAAATATTCAACAGTCTGTAAAGTCCTCCAGATCTCGATTCTTTCACAAAACACCATCCTCTTGAGGGCATGACAACACCCTTAATGCTCTTCATAATCCCTGGGCAGAGCTGAGAACTACTGTCAATACTTCACAGATCCTGTGCCAAATAGATGATAATTTGCAGAGTAATTTTCAGTAATTCTAGCGACATATATAACTCAATGCTTACAAATCTTTATCAGCTTGTTCATAGTTTGGTGGAAACCTCCAAAGAGACAAAAAGAAAAGTTGAATGGAAAAGGGCAGAGCAGGAACTTCATGGGAAGGAGATGATACTTTATTAAGAGAAGAGAACTGTTAAATGGGATTCATTTATTGAATTTGTTTACTTTTTTTTTTAAGAATTTTATCTGCTGCCTTGGAAAGTTATTTAGACTTTCTGGGAATCAGTTTCCTCATTTGTAGAAATGCATGTCCCTCAGGATGGTGTTGTGAGTATTAGGTATTGATGAATGTAAATCTCTACGAACCAGCTAGCAGCAAAGTCCTCCACAAATGCTCCCCCTTCCCTTTACCACTGCTGTCTCCTCTTTGAACCATCATTAAAGATTAAATTTTTTTCACAACATTTTTAAGGAGTAGATTATTCTTCCACAGATCGAGAAAAGTTGCAGGTTTTCATCTTTGTGGATACAGACTAAAAACAGTGGCACCTTGCAAACGTGGCTACAGCATTGCCGCGGGGGGCAGACGGCTCGGCAGCAGAGGCCCTCCTGTGGTTTTCTGGTTCCCCCTCCTTGCAGTTTCTCCGCACTTTCTTCACCGGCCAGGCTCATTCAGATCCCTGCTTATCAACAGGACAGATCCTCACCCACTCTCATCTCACACCTCTGATCTGCTCTCCTGTCTCCACTCCTCCACTATTCTTTTGGGGAGTATCCTTTGCTCACGAACTTACCTATGAAGTTGAAAGGGCATGGGACCTATGTTCACTAGTCACTAGCCTTGACTAAGTTACCCATACACCCTCAATTTTCTAATCTTTGGAATATTCACTAATAATAAATATCATGTAGTATAGCCATGAGAGCTAGTGGTGATGTGTGCAATGTTGGACACATTTACACACTCAACAAATGGTAGTTGTAGGATTGTTTTAAGTTTGAACTTCAACTTCCAAATGAACGTTTATCATCCTCTTTACCTGAATATCTGTTTAGAATCTCAAATGTAAACCAATCCCCATTGCCAACTCTATTCCTTTTATTTTATTTCTTATTTATATAAATGCATCAAGAACTAAACTTACTCAAGTTCAAAAGCTTGGAATAGTTCTGTGCTTATTTTGTCCCTTGTAAATCAACCAGTTATCCAAATCATTCATTTAATAATAACACTCCCTGCACAACACTTCCAAAAAAGTGTTATTGTCTACAGAGTAAAGTTCATGCTACTCATTGTGGAATTTAAGTTAATCCGGGACCTGAGTTCAACCTTCCACAACATTTGAGTCTGTGCAACCTACGTCAGGTGACAAAGAACTGAGCTTTGTCCTGTATGTCTGATATGATAATTCAATAGACTTTTAATGCCTACCTAGTTAAATTAAGGGTCTCCACAAAACCTTAAATCAGTGATTTAAGTAGAAAAGGCAGATAATCAATTTGCAATGAATCTTTAAGTAAATCTACAAACAAAAAATACTATATAATCAGAAAGACTACATTAGGAGTAGACTGAACTGCTCAGAGCAGCCATAAGTAAGGGAATAGAATAAAACTTGAATACTAAAGTAAATAAATGAAGGACCAAGAAAATCCTTTCAGGCTAAATTTGAACGGATACTTTTGTATTTTTAATCATATCAAAAAACCCTACCCTCAAGGTTAACTAGAAGTTAAAAGTATATTGAAGTCACCTATGTCATTACCCCAGGGCCTTTGTTTTAGGAAGGTCAGGAAAAGGCGAGGGAAGGGGTTAGAGAGAATGTGCACCAGGATTCTTTCAATTTATGTTAGGCTAATTTCTTTCTATTTTTAGATTGCATAGAATATCAGGGCTAAGCGAACAAGGATGAGGGAGCAGCTGAGTAGAGTAAATACAATGGAGGCAAAGTAAAAGAAGAGAATAAGGATTAAAAGTTGTGTCATACGATCGAATTCTAGGGATGGAATCCCCCGGCTCACTCTTCTCTATGGTCCTTGAGGCCACTAGGGATTTATGGTGGTTTCTGTCTCTCAAGTTTATGCAGAATTTCTGTTGTTTTTAAACCAACACTTTCACTCAACCCACAGAATGCAATTTCAGTTAAGTGCTGAGCTTTGTCATTCTGAAATTGCTTAAGAGCCTTTGTGATTTCCCAGAATTGTCCCATCATACAGTGGGCATGAGCTCCTGCTCTTAGAAAGCATGATTCTTACAAGACACACTTGATTTTTACATCCAGTCTCTGAGTAAGCTCACACCTACTTTTGTGCCTTCCACCTCCCTCTCATGAAAACATAGCTTTGTTTACTGAATGAGCAGAGCCAGCAGAGAAGCGACGTGCTGCTCGCACAGGCTCCGCACAGGGGACATTTAACCTGCCCCCACGTGGTGGTTGTGATGGTGAGACGGGAAGACAATGGAGCCCGTTGGTACTTTTAATTTCACACATTTGATAATGAGGCTGGTGAATCAAACTCCACTGAATAAAATATATCTAACAAGTATGAAGATTTCAAAATTGCTTAGGGGCAAATGGCAAAGTGATCATTGAAATTAAAGCATTACTTAACAATAAAAATTAGAAAGCTTATTGATACAGAGACCCTTAAAGATCCACATTTGAAAACTTGGAGCAACTTTCCAAGGTTTGGTTTCTTCAGTAAAACTGTCATTTCATTGATTTTGCGATTTGTATTCAGATCTCCTAAGGAACAATAATTACACTGACAATTGATGTACAAGAATCGCATCGATGAAATCTTTTCATCAGCTTTATTTGTCTCTAGCTCAGACTCTGCCGATGCGGCCTTCCTGACCCCTTCAACAGTGCGTCTGTGGCTGAGTGATCATTTATATACGCTCTTGCTCCAAACAAAAGACATTCTGGCTAATCCATTATTTATTAATTAATTTATTAGATAATGAGTGCCTACTATGTTGCCAGCATTCTATCAGACGTTAATAATACAAACATAAAATGAAGTCTTGCCTTTATGTTGTGCATAGTCTAATGGGAAATGAGTCTAATTACAGAGAATTACAGTATAGTATATTAAGTAGTGTGAAACATACATGGCCTGAATATAAGGATTGGAAACAAAGGGGCCTGAATTCATCCTCATCAAGTTCCTTCTGTGTAGGTGCATCATACAGTTCTTTAAGCAAAAAGTCATTTTTTTAATAGTGAGGTAAGGAAAATTGCTGACATCTCTTTTAAAATGTGAGAAGCTAATATCATTTTGAGTTTTCTCCAGCCTAGACTAATGGGCAGGTAAGGACCAAAACATGTCAAAGCAACTACTACCAAATAACTATCCAAGCTATTTTTTAGAAATTTTAATTAAATACAAATAGAATAAATATGCTCACATAATGTAATTTCCTGATAAGCCTAATGAAATGTTTAATTTGCCTTTTTTATTTTTGCAAGCAGCCCCACTCCCTTAAACCTTAAATGTGTTGACTTGCTTCATACAGTTGCCTGCCATACATGTTTGATTTGGCAGATAAGAAATATGATGTTGATTTTTAAAAGTTAGTTTCCAGCCAGTCTACTGGGCAAAAAATGAGACATAATGACAGGTGTCTGTTAGGTACTTACCCATTTAACTTTCTTATTCTCTAAGACTGATGTTGGCAGAAGTGGTGGTGTTCTGTGGAGAAGGGAATGTAATTACAAGTTAGAAGGAGAGCATAAGTGGTATCTTTGATTGAACCAAAATTAATCTTTGATTGAATTTTATTATTTGTTCAGAAATTCTTGCCACAGAACTTAACTTTTAAGGTATTATTAATAGATTATAGTGATGACATGAGTAAGAGATCCTGTATATTGCATACCAGATTTGATCCATTGACGCAACGAGTAAGGATTTTATAGACCATCTTATCTTTCTCCTAAACTTATCTCAATAAGACAGTAATGATCTAATTGTAGATTGTAATAAGAGTCACACCCACACCTTATGTAAAATTTCCTCATCTCAAAAGACAATTGGCATAAATTTAAGTGGTATATCTAATAAGACAAAGCATGAAAAATGTCCAGCATGTCAATAAATGTAAACAGTTTAGGAAGAAGAGTAGGGAATTAAGGTAAGAGAATGTCTGCCAAACGTGTTTTCATTTTATTGGACTATTTAATCAACCATATGCTGTTGAGACAGGTCATCAAGATCCCTTCAGATCTCAGCTAGAATTTACCAAATCTAGACAGTTGATTTTGATTGCAAAGATAGAACCTGACTGGCAGCCAGAATCTAAGCTTTCATTGACTAATTTAGCAAATTATTTTCTTGACATAACTGCAGTATAGAATCTGAGTTATTGTTCAACCTAATACCAGACAGTGGTCTTCTTACCTAGTATCACCCGCAGAGACAACAATACCAAACAAGAGAGTTAGATGGATCGGGGATTGTTCTATACATTATGCATTTGATTTATGTAATCCTTACAGTGAGTCTAAGGTAAGTACCATTATTTTTTCCCCATTTAACAATTGATAAAATAGAAAAAAAAATAGTATTTGGCCAAATACCGCACAGCAAGTTATGGAGGTTGAATTAAGACTCCCAAAAGCCCAGCTTCAAAGTCTTGCCCTTAACCACTGTGCAATTTTAAATTAAATTATTACATACGGGTTCTTGCTCTTTGAAAAACGTACATGTATGTATATTTGTGTATATGTGGATGCATTTCCATTTATCATTCTCTCACTCCAGATATTTTGCAACTCTGCAAATTAATCAGAGGTGTTCTAACACAGTACATAAAAATGCATTAAAATACACAGCAATCCATAAATTTGAAGTGAACATTTTATAACATTAATGAGATGACTTCAAGGGACACATTCTTTTTGTATACCTGCACTTTTTATTTTTTAATTTAAAATATAGAACACAAAGATTTATGTAACAATTACACATATTTCCAATACTTGCTATTAAAAACTGTTACTGGTTTGTCATATTTGCTTCTAGATTTTGTTCTTCAGGAAATCAAACTTAAAGGGGAATCACCTTTGAACATCTACCCCTTACCTTCTTTTCCTCTGCTTTCTGTAATCAGATATATAAATCATTTCCCTGAGGTTATACATTGTATCTTTAGAAAGTTCTTTATTGTTCCTGATATTTTTCTTGATACATTAGTTACTGAGAGAGCCAGGTTAAGTCTCCTACTAAAACTGTGCTCATGACAAGATCTCCATATTGTCCTGCCACTTTAGTCCTTTTAGAGTTTGAGATTGAAACTTTTTATACCATCTCATAAATCCAACATTTTGTCCATCTCATAAATTCATCATTTTTAGAGACTTTCTTTTTCTCTTCTGATATTATTTTCTTCCTTTAGGGTTTATTTATCTGGGTTTGAAATTTTTAAACTAGATTTTTCAATACCTAGATATTTTTCATACCTTGACTTTTAAGGTAGGAAATTGCAATATTCCACAAGTCCATTTCCAAGATTTATTTTTATAACAACAATTATTAAATACTATTATACTATGACTATTTTGTGCTCATATTTCTGGTGTATTTGTATTTTAATTTACTCACATTTATTATGGCCTTTGCTGACTATTCCTTTTTGCCTTTCAGTTCTTTATCTAGGTTATATTTTATCTGAATTCCATTATATTTCTTTATTATCAGTCTATTGATAATAAACTCTATCAGTTTTTATTTTACTAAAAAATCTTTATATTATCTTCTTTCATGGAAGGCAGTTTCACTGTGTACATTTTCTCTCAGCACATTGAGGATATTATTCCATTGTCTTCTGACTTCCAGTGTTGCTGTTGAAGAATCAGCCTTACTGTTTAGCTGTAGTAATTTTTCTTTTTAAACATAGGTGTTTTCTCTGCTCTCCAGTTGGCTTTAAGAATTTCTATTTGTTTTTGAAGTTTCACAGGTTCATTGCCCTTTAGGTAAATACAGACTTCTCCCCGGGGCTCTTTAGCATTCCTAGATTTGAGCTTTTGTATCTTTGAACAATTCTGTTTCTTTTAAGCCATTTGTGGCAAATACTTTCCCTCCCCCATTTTTCAGTGACATCAATTTGAAAAACGAATTAAATGTGTATTTAGACTTCTCCTTTCCATTTTTTACTGCATTTTTTTGTTCCCTTCTTTTCATCTGAGTGCTATGTTGAGGAAAATTATGTATTTTTATTTTCTGGTTCAGCAATTGGTTCTTCAGCTAAGTCTAAACTGTCATTTAACCATTTCTCTTAATCTTCACTTCAATTGCTATATTTTTAAAATATTTGGTAGTTGTATTTAATTAATTTCTAAACTGCCTTGCTTATCTCATGTTCAAATTTTTGATTTATAGAATAACTTTTAGAAATGTGCAAATTCACAGAAAACTTGGAAAGTTAATACAAGTCAGCCTAGAATCCTATTTAAAATAAAAGTGATCAAAATAAATCTTTGCTGTCAGGGTCTTTTTGGCTTATCAGGTACTTCTTCAGTCTTTTACTGTTCTTTATAGTTTCTTTATGACATTAATTACATATTATTCTGCTTCATAAACATATAGAAATAATTTAAATGATATAAGCGAAGTAATTATGATTTGATCATGATCTTTGCACAGCCTCTCAGTTTTTCATTGCTAGTAAAGGAAACTTGGCATTTCTCTTTTATATCCTGTTTGTTACAAATCCCATCTGGTGGCAAGAGGCATTATTCCTGGAATAGTCTCAGGAATTAACTAACGTTCCCCAAATCCCAGATTTGAACATGAGTTTCGGTCATAACTTCTTCCTACTCAAACCATCATGTGTGCCTTTAACTGCATGTAACAGAAACTTAACCCACTAAACGTAACTGAACATTGGTTTTCCAACATAAACAGCCTAGAAATGGATTTTCAGGTATAATAAACTGTGTCCTCAATGTCATTGCTGGCCCAGGCTCCTTCTATCATTTTAATTTGTCACCCTTAGCATATGGGTTTCATCACCATGATACAGGAAGATATTTGCTACATTTCCAGCTGCATATATGCAGCACAGGCAGGTATGGATAAAAGAAAAAGCAGCAGCAGTAGGAAAAGAAAGTATTAAAGATCATTTGATAAGACTTTCTTTTTGATCAAATAGATTTCTATATAAACAACGATTCTCTTGTTTCGATGTTAATCACCATTAAGACTCTTAATTGACACATGCATGTTGCAAGAAGAGAAAAATGTATTATACCTTTTTAAGAGACTTAGATGGGGAAAATTAATTCCTAAATAAAATCATGTAAGTGTATTTTATTTCATTTTCCCTTTGTAGAAGCCGTATGAAGTGATGTCTACTTTCTGTTGAGTACATTTTTTTAAGTATGTAAAAGTATTTGGTAATGTCTGAAAAGTGATGAAAAATAATTTATTGTACTATTGCAATGGCTGTCCTGCTCAGGAAAATACATATGAAGACTTTCATCAAATATTTAAAATGCTCATTGATTTTAAAATTATTTTCAGTATGCTGAAACCAGTAGTTCAGATTGCCAAAATAATTCAACTCATGTCTATTAATCTATCTTCATGACTCCAGGTTTGCAATTATCATAAATGCTGTCTTGCAAATGAAATGATGATGTAAACTTGCTTTTTAAGGATAGATTTAAACTGCTGAAATGAGTAAATACAACTGCAAAGTATGAACATTTACACAGCCTGCCTCAATCATGAACTGGATATCACAGATAAAATGCTCAGCCCACAGACACATGAAGTTTTTTTAATATTCAAGTAAGCATATTTCTATAGGAAATCCAAGTGCTGGTAACTTTGTAGTCATTTTTAATCTCTTTGAAATGAGAGAAAACAAATTTTGATAACTTACTGACATGCCTTTAATGTTTTTTCTTATTTTAAACAGTTCATTTTGCATATCAGTATTGTCTTAAATGATAATGCATCTCTCAGTTGGTTTATGCTTTCCTATGTGCCCATCAAACATATCATTGTAAAGATGGAACAGGTCCTTTTATTAAAACAACCATGACTTTAGTGTAACCCAAGCACCCCCAGGAGGTACTACTCTAAGCTTAAAGCATCATTGGTCATGAAGCCATCAGTATACCAGCTGACACTAGTGATGTATACATTGTGTACTATCTATATGGTTAAACAAATACGGTGGAAATACTTCAAGTTTCTGAAGTTTAAAAAATTTTTCTTTGGCACCTTAAGCACAGCACTTACTATTCATGTTCTCTGAAAATAAATGTCATTTGGCTGCTTATTTGAACCCTACCTTAAATACATATCTATGTATAGCATAGATATTCAAAATTATTCATTGGTGATGTGTAAAATAATCATATACAGTAAGATTAAAATCTACATTGCATTTAAGTTAACTTATATTGAATTATAAATGCTGCTCTGTGTATCATGCAGCGTATCTCACACACCGCACCAGGGGAAAGCCTATCGCTTGGCCAACATTGCTTTACAAACCCAAGAATCTCATAACAATTTTCTCTCATTCTGTAAAATAGCTGATCCGCATGTGCTTTTCCCTGAACTATAGGTGATCTTATTTTACTCAGCACTTTTTTCAAGCAATTACAGTTGATAATTTGACAATTTTTCAGATTATGCAAGAAATATTTACACACACTAGCAAGGTAAAAGCTGTTTTG